AAAAAAAAAAAAAAAAGAATTTAAAATTTAGTTGGTTCTTCTATTTCCTTTAAAGTGACAAATCATTGTTGAAATGTGTATGAATATATGTTACATTCAAACTTAAAAGCTAACAAAGCTAAAAATTTAAACACATGACTTCCCACATAAATAAACTCTATACAGAGACCACTATAACAGCTTATAAAAGACTAAATATGCTTTTATTCCTAAGGTCAGGAACAAGGCAAGAATATACACACTCAACACTCCAAATAAACACTGTTCTAAAAGTTCTAGCCAGTGCAATCAAGTAAGAAAAGGAAAAAAAAAAAAAAGACAGATTGGAAGGAAGAAATAAAACTATGCTACAGAAAACCCTAGGATTAATAAGGCAGTTTGAAACTTTTAAGGATATACAGTCAAAATGTAATCCCAGCATTCAGGAGGCTGAGACAGGAGGATTGCTGTGAATGTGAGGCCAGCCTGACTACATAACGAGTCCAAGGCCAGCCTGAACTACATAGTGGCATCCTGTCTCAAAAACAAAAAAAAAAAAAAGCTAAATATCTACACGCTAGCAATAAGAAAAGAGCAAATACTACCTATAATAATTACAAAAAGATGAAACATTAAGAATAAATTTAATAAAACATGTATAGAATTTGTATGCTGAAAATTATAAAGTCCTGATAGAAGAAAATCAAAGAACATAATAAATATCAATAAACACTACATTCATCAATTTGAAGAGTCAACACAGTGAAAATGTCACTTTTCCCTCAATTTAGTCTATAAACTTAACACACTCCTAAACAAAATCCTACCAGAATTTGTTTTAAACATTGGCAAACTGATTCTAAAATTTGTGTGGAAAAATAACTAGAATAATCCAGCCAACTCTGAAAAAAAATAAAACCTGGGTAATCGTTTCTTGGTCTTTTGGCTAAGACCAAGAATAAACTTGGATATATCAAACTTCCTAATTTTAACACCTAATATAAAACTATTCATCAAGACAGTGTTGTTTGGAACAAAATAGAGAATCCAGAAACAGAACCACATATATGTGGACAACTGATTTTTGTTTTTTGTTTTTTTGTACTAGGAACCAAACCCAGGGCCTTGCACTTGCCAGGCAGGTGTGGTGCCACTGAGCTAAATCCCCGGCCCGCCAACTGATTTCTTTTTTTTTTTTTTTTTTTTTTTTTTTTTTTTTAACTCACTATGTAGTTGAGACTGACCTGGAACTCACTATGGAGTCCAGGTTGGTCTCAAACTCACAGTGATTCTCCTGCCTCAGCCTCCCAAGTACTGAGATTACAGGCGTGTGCCACCACACCTGGCCCGTCAACTGATTTTTAACTAAGGTACAAAACCATTTTGATGAGGAAAGGCTAGGCTCTTTAACAAATGGTGTTTTGTTAACACTGAATATCCATATGCAAAAATGAAACATAAACTTCACTCCTTACACAAAAGTAAATTCACAAGAGATTGTAGAGCTAAATGTAAAATACAAAACAGTAAGACTACTAGAAAAAAAAAAACTAGAGGAAATATTTGCAACTGAGGGCTAAGCAAAGAATTTTTAGGCATGATCCTAAAAGTATGCTCCATAAAAGAAAAAATTCATTAACTGGTCTCTGTCAAAATCACAGTTTTCGCTTTGCAAAAGACAGTTATAGGAATGAAGAGGTATGTTACATTCTAGGAAAAAATATTTGTAAAGGAGAGATCAAGTAAAAAATTATATCCAGAACATGAAGAACTCCCAAAACTCAAGAGTAATAAAACAACCCAAACAAAAAAAAAATTAAAAAGATAGAAAGAAAGGAAGAAAGGGCAAAAGACAGTCTCCAAGGTTAAATACTATAGTGATGAAGAGTTTCATCAGTGGTTGCCAGGAATTTAAGAGGTTGGGGAAAAAGTGTGGAAAATGGGATAGCATAGGGAAGATATTTAGGACATTACTGTGATGGAGACTATCTATACATGTGTTAAGATTCACAGAATTACACAACAAAAATTCAAATTTACTGTATGCTAATTTTTGCAGTGCTAGGAATTACTGTATATTAATTTTTTAAATAATACTCAAAAGTAAAAGTGCTGCCGCTTTTCAGCCTTCTCTCAAATCTCTAGCATATCCAGGATCCATGCTAGGTACCAAGAATATACAGTTAAAAAGACAGCATCTCCCAACAGCAAAGGAGTCAGTCAAGCACAGTATGATAAAGGCTTTGATGGAGGAGCAGGTAAGACACACAGAGAGCTATGCTTCAGAAGATTTCCTAGTGAACACAGGGCACAGATGACACTTGAAATAAGCAAGGATTTGCAACTTGAAACTGCATCAAGCAGGCTTTAGATATTATTGGCTTATAATTCAGATATTGACTAAAACTATGAGTCACAACAAGGCCTAGGTGTGAAATGCTAGTTGACCTTTCGGCTGATGTACAAAGACTTCCCTGTACCAATAGTCACAACTGAGGTCTCAATGATCGATGAGATTGTGATATCTCTGTAGCAAGGAAACACGGAGGCTGAGGAATATTGACTGTGCAACTATTCTCCAAGATCAAAGGCTAGCTAGATAATGCAGGTGGCTCGATGGCTATGACCTGCAAGATAGTACAGGTGCCTTGTTAACTGTGACCCGTCCTTCACAAGTATTCATAGTTACTCGCCTTTTACAGCCTGGCTCATTGTGCATTAGTTCTGCTACTGCTTACATCTGCCTTCATGTCCCCCTTTCTAAGCTGTGTAATCATAACTACTGACTGATCCAGTGCTCACTGTCTTAGCCAGGACAGAGCTAAGATCAGCTGGTCTTTTAGCCAGGAAAGAGTTAAAGATCAATTCCCAGAAGTAGTAAACTACTGTTCATTCCTTAGTCTTTTTTCTTTTTTCCTTTTTGGTACCGGGTCAAATTCAGGA